GAAGCAACTCCCGCGAGCCTCCTTCATCGTCTGCCTGCTCGCGACCCGCATCGCCGATGTTCTCAGCGCAAGGAGAATGCGTTCACAGTCCGCGCACGCCCAGGTAACTTGCTCTGCATGCCCGCGTGCTTCCAGACGCCGAGTGCCAGTTGCGTCGGCATAGGAGTGCCGCAACGCACGCGCGGGACATCCCTGCTTGCACCCCAGCGCCCGTTCGCGTAGCCCAGCATCCTGCGCGTCACGCCCAGCGCCCGACACGTGCTAGCTGCCATCCGCGACCAGCGCCCGCGACAAGCCCGCTGCACTCGACGCGGAGACTCGCCTACCGTACAACCGAGGTTCGCTTGATTTATCGAAAAGAATCGATTAAAGGCCAAATCTAATGGCCCATTAGATTATGGTATTAAGACGAACTACATCAACGGTATTCTAAATCGTCTCTGAGTCGACAAATATTTTAAAAGGTAATGTCCATATCCTAACTATAGATTCCGATGCGTTAGGATTTATTTCGATAAGCTCAATACTGTGCATGTTGTTTGACGTTCCTCATAGAATCCAACAACTGGTATCAGAGCCCATGTTTAATTCAACCTCGTGCACAGTTTGAATTTGGACTTTGCTTGTTTACATGAATTATGTGCGTACGGACGCAGCAGCATAGTATATTAGAAATTGCAATAAGTTTTTGCAGGTGATTTCGAATCCGACTATTGTGGCCCGTATGTATGGATTTTAATTCATGTTGAATGTATGCTGTTATATTAGCCTCGGACATGTCGAGGAATTATTGTGTTGGTGAATGCTTGTAATAAATTATTCGCGTGGTGGGACACCGCATAGTTTATTGCTTTCATAGTAACTCATGTACGGCTCCTGCGTAGGTTATAGGATGAGTTGTGTAATTTTTGTTTATATTATTCATTATTGATCCAGCGGGTGTGGACCAACCTTGGCGGGCAAGGCGATAAACATGTACACGGATGCTATGGTGATGATCCAATGGCGACTTTCCCAGAGACGACCAATTCAGTGGGAGTCACTGCGAAAGTGGATTTCCAATACCTGAATCGGAGGACACATTCAACAAGGACATGATTGTGTTTTCTCCATATCATTGGAGATTGATTAATGGCCATTGATATAGCCATACTGCAGAATAACGGTTCAAGTGCTAACTACCCAGTCGAATGATGAGCATATGAGTCAACCTACATTGGTCGACACCAGGAAGCCAACTTGCGTAAAGTTGGTTCTCTCTATGAGTCCTTTTAGGACTCTTCAACTTAATAACAAGTCCCAGTCGATTCCCTTAAGTCGACTTCCACCAGTCGACTTTTCCCAAGAAGACGGATGGGCGTAACGTAGTCTCTTGATGCTCACGAGTAGCCTGAGTCGACTCGAAAATGTTCGAAGTCATCTTATCCTACCTCGAGGCAGCCAAGAGCTCCGACGACTTACATATAATTCAACACAGTGCCTGAAGAACTCCAAGCTAGAGAATCCATATGGGATAAGAATGAATCTCGATGCTGACTAAGAAGTGGATAGATTATGAACTGACCAGGGCATTTTGGACACTTCGTGTAAGTCGGCCAGGGCGTTTTGGGTACTTCAGCTAAAGTGTTTTGTTTCTATATAAAGGAGCTGAGGTACCTCCAAACCCTAACTTTCACTCTCTCTATTCATTTTTCCCAGTTGCTGCTCTTACTGAGCAAAGCTCATCTTCATCACTCTTATACTGACTTGATCATCGGAGGCTCTTCACCGGAAACACCTCCGGTGTTAAGTTCGTGCAGGTGTTTGGTCCAAAGGTGATTTGGAGGCAGTTCGAGCAGATCGGAGCTCATTTCTACTGGTTCACTTTAGATCTCGAAGTAGACCCATCAAATTGGCGCCTTCTGTGGGGAGTTCTTAAAGGGAACAAGATCTTTGCGCCTGGTCCAGATCTATTCGGAGATGGCAGAGTAAGAGGGATTGCAGAGGAATTTGAGCGAGGATTTCAGAGGAACGTGGACAGACAAACAACCTCCGCTGATTCCCATCCCTGGACTAGCACTTCAAGTGCTCGGTTTCCCATCGTTCGGGGTACACGCACCGTCGGGGGTGCGTGTGGAGGAAGAAACCCCACCGGGGGTAAAAATTCTAGTGGTCGCACAAGGGGGACCTAGCCTCGCGAAGAGCGCGAACGCGGGAGTCGACGGGCAGGAATCGACTGAGACCTCCTTAAGCCTGGGAGGCAACCTGGAACGACGGAGCAAGGAGCAAGGCCACCACCACAGGTCGAGGAACAAATGCTGACCATGACGAGAAACGAGATGCAAAAGATGGTTGCGGAGGCAGTAGCGACCCAACTTAAGCAAACTACGGTCGAGCAACCTAGGGTCGAGCAACCTAGAGTCGAGTAGCCTCAGATTGAACAACCACCTCCTGAGCGCGAACAACAAGCACAATCCCATGAGAGGCACAGTAGGAGGGTGGACGAGGAGGAGTCCTCCGTTAGAACTATTAACCCACAAGCGAGAAATGATACCCTAGAGCAATTGATGGCTCAGGTGCGACACTTACAGGCTCGAGTCGAAGGAAGAAAAACTAGGGGCTCGAGAGGACTACCGTTCTCGCAACACATTCTGGATGTCGATTTGCCACAAGGGTTTAGAGAGCTGAACATTTGGTATGATGGGTCGACTGATCCCTCTCAACATCTGAGGAGTTTCGAGAATATGGCAGTTCTACATCATTACAATGATTCTGTTCAGTGTCGAGCATTCTTGACGACCCTACGAGGACCCGCGCAAGACTGGTTTCACCAATTGCCTCCAGGAGCCGACAGAGACTTTGATGGGTTCAGGTCGAGTTTCCTGAATCAGTTTGCAAGCGTGAAAGCCCAGGAAAAGTCTTACCTTACCTTGATAGGTATGCAGCAGAAATAGGGAGAGTCGCTGCGGGACTATGTGGCGAGGTATACACGAGCATGTGTCAACGTGCCCTCAACCATGGAGGAAATCAAGTCGGGAGGACTGACTTGGGGACTGCTACCTGGTCTATGTAGGAACTCTTTGGCAAAGCGACCTGGTTGGACGTTCGATGAAGTATTGGGGAGGTGCGCTAACTCCATGAATATCGAGGAAGTAGAAGCCAACTTCCTGCAAGTGGCGAAGGCAAAAACTGAACCCCGAGAAGAGAAGAAGGATAGAAAGGTGAACCCGTCGGGAGAGAGGAAAGGATCCCCAAGAGCAGAGAGGGAGGGACGATCAGGAGATGGAGGCCGACTCAATACACCCTATTGTCGGCCCCGCAAGCAAGAATATTGGAAGTAATGGAGAAGGAGATCCATGAAAATGTCGTTAGATGGCCTCGAACGAGAAAAGATGGATCAACAAAGCCCAAGAGCAACTTATATTGTCGATTCCAAAAAGACTACAGGCACAACACTGACGACTGCAGACATCTCAAAGACGAGATCGAGAGACTGATCAAAGCAGGACACTTGAATGAAGTCATATACAAAGATCGTGAAAGGTCGAGCAGGAAGAGGGAGTGAAGTAAGAGTCAACGGAGGAGGGCGAGAACACCGGAGAAAGAGGAACACCCTCAAAAAATAGAAGTCATACACATGATATTCGGCGAATTGTCTGTTGGGGACTCAAATCGAGCAAGGAAGGCGTATGCTCGAGGACGCCATGGAAAGGTCGAGGTGCAGCAAGTCCACGAATGAACCTTCTGATGTTCGCAGAGACCAGAAATTTATGGAAGTATTTAAGGGAAGTTTATATTTGGTATGAATTAGTCTTAATTTTAATTAAGTCAAAAGGACTGATTATTTATGTTTTATTATGGCAGGACCTTGGGATTGAGGAGGAGACGCTTTTCATATTCTAAAGAGAAGTAGAATCACAGGATTTACCTTCTATAATCGAAGAAGGAGAATCACGAGATTATCATTCCTTATATGCGTTTGTCTTGGACAGAATATTTTTCAAAAAGGATGCTGAAGATAAAAGGAGGACGAGACCAGAGTTGAGGATTACTTTTGGCACCTTTTTTGTTATTTTTCTTTCGGTGAGAAAGAGAGTGATATTTAGAACATTTTGTAAAAGAACGTTTGGAGGATCGTTCTTATTGTTTGAGGGATTCGAACTAGAAAATCCACAAGGGAGTTGTGGTCGGATAAGTAGTTGTGTGAATCATCATTCAAGTAGAGTGTAGAGGGAGTCTATACTGTAAACCTTTGGATGATGTATGAGTTGTTCAAATTAATGAAAGAGATCTGAAGGGAGAGTGGGACGCTCTCCTGAAGATTCAATTTTTAGTGAAAAATAGCTTCCACAATTGTTTGAATCTTCATTACAGTCTGTTTATTCAATTTACGTACAACTCTGGATACTTGGTGTTTAAGTATCAAATTTCAATTGGAACCAGAGCGGGTTTTCGTCTTCATTACAAAAGATCCTAGGACGTGTGTTACCCTCAAATCATGGATCAAGAAAGTGGATCGATGTCCAGGCCTCCGCAATTAGACGGTTCGAACTACTCGTATTGGAAGTCTATGATGACAATCTTTCTGAGATCGCTTGGAAAAGGCGTGTGGGAAAGTGTAGAAAATGGATGGGAGCATCCAGTCATGCAACAAGCACCTGATCAAGGTAAAGAAACAACGAAAGTCATGGTTTCTAAACCCAAGGACAACTGGACAGATACTGAGAAGCTTCAAGAAGAAGCCAGCTATCGTGCCTTGTATGCGATTATGATGGCAGTTGATCATACAAGACACAAGATTATAGTTCATTGCAAAACTGCAAAAGATGCTTGGAGGGTCTTACAGCGTCCATTTGAAGGTTCAACGGATGTCAAAGCATCCAGACTTCAACGGGTAACTCTTGAATTTGATGAGATCAAAATGAGGGATGAAGAGATAATTGACGTATACTATGCCAGATTCTGTGGTCTGGTAAATCAAAGCATGATGCTTGGAGAAGAAATCTTTGAAAAACATCAAGTACAAAAGATTATGAGAACCGTCGCTCCCAGGTTTAGAGAGAAAATCACAGCTCTTGAAAGTTTCCAAAGAGTGGCGTCATTGGATGTTCATGAACTTCTTGGAGAGCTCAGAACTTTTGAAATCAACAACAATTATGGAAAAGTGAAAAGTATAGGCTTAGCTATCAAAGTTGCTGTAGTCGAGGAAAGAGAAGAAAATGATGATGATGAAGGTCCGTCGGCAGATGATAGTGAGCTGAAGGAAGCACTAGCTTTACTCGCGCGAAACTATGGGAAGATGAGTCAAAGGCTGTACAAGAACAAATTTGCTGGAAAAAAGGGGAACAGTTTCAGCAAGAATGTGGTGCAGGACAAGAAAAGTAGTATGCCACTCTCAAAATCCGATTCACAACGAGTCGAGAAGGATCAATGCAGGGAGTGTCGAGGCTTTGGACACTTACAGTATGAGTATGCTAATCTTAAGAAGAAAAATAAGTCACTGAAGGCAACCTGGGAAGATTCAGATGAAGAGGGCACAGATGAACCTTCGTTGCACACAAGCAACCTGGCGGTTCAGACCTTAGTCAAGAAGTTCATGTGTCTCACCACTTCTCATGCTCCGACCAAGTTTGAAGGAAGTTTTAAGGAAACTGAAGCATCTGAGGATGAATCAGATCAAATTGTGTGTGTAGGTCCAGTTCACTTGCTTGCTATGGAAAAGTGCGCTCAAGCATCTGAAGCTCTACAGAAGCTTCAAAATGAAGTGTTTAGACTTTCGAGAGCAAACAGCGTGCTGAACGGACAAGCATCCGCCTCCACTGCTACTAAAGAGTGTGAACTGGATACTGCTAAGGCACGAACTTGCATCCTAGAGAGCAGTGTCAAACTTGCTAAACAAGACGGACTGGAGAAGGCTCAGACCATTGAATGCTTGAGGAACGAACTATTCTCTACTCAGAAACTTCTTGTCGAGCGGAACCAAAAAATTGTACTACTGAAAAATGAAGCTGATCGGATGAGGAATGAACATGCTAGCATGGAAAGCAAACTGAAGGCAAACTCTGCTGAGTTGAAACGAACTGCAGAAGTTGTTTGAAAACTGAACAAGAGAAAAGCAGATCTGAATGAACTTCTTTCCTTGGGAAGATAACATGGAGACCTTACTGGACTAGGGTACACTGGTAGGGAAGACATTCCTGAGTCCTCAACTAGAGCATCAAATGCAAAACATACCCGTCTTGAATTTGGTGACAAACCTGGAGTTTGAGGCTTGAACCTCCATGGATACCTTCCAGAAACGTGTTTGATAGGTTTGTAAAAAGCATTGTAAGTAAACCTCCATCTCCACAATCTCCCTTGAAGGTTCATTCTCCCAAGCAGAAATCTGTTATTAAAACTCACCATAATTTTGTTCTTATATGTCATTACTGTGGTGTAACTGGTCACATAAGACCTAAATGCTATAAAATGCAGCATGATCCTTGTACAGGAAATGTGAGGGGCTGGAATCAGTCTGGGATCCCAGTGAAGGTTCATTCCAGGACTCTCTCAAATAACCGTACCAAAAATCATCAAGTGTGGGTTGCTAAGCCATCCTTCAATTGTTTTGCCTCTGTTATGTCCATCAGGACCTCTCTGAAAGGTAAGTGGTATTTGCACAGCGGCTGCTCTAGACACATGACTGGTGAACCTTCTTACTTGATGAACATTCAACCCAGTTCAAATGGGGAAGTCACATTTGGTGATGGAGTGAGCAATAAGGTTATTGGAACTGGGTGCTTAAATTTGGGTGGAATACCCAAACTAACTGATGTGATACTTGTTGATAAGCTAAAGGCAAATCTGTTGAGTGTGAGTCAACTCTGTGATCAAAGCCTTAGTGTCAGTTTCTCTTGTGACAAGTGTTATGTGAAAGACAGTGAAGGTTCTTGTGTACTTACAGGTTCTCGTTCAACATATAACGGTTATCTTGTTGATGCTAATGAAAAAATGCCTTTTCTCAAATGTGAGCGAACCTGAAATATGGCATCAACGCCTAGGACATATTGGATACTCTCACCTTGTCAAATTGACCAATGCAGGTGTAGTCAGGGGTGTTCCAAAGATTGCTATGAAGGACCAGCCAATTTGTGAACCTTGTCAACTAGGTAAGCAAACCAGGACATTCCACAAGTCACTGAACCATATTGTGTCTAAACAGATCCTAGAGCTTTTTGACATGGATCTTATGGGTCTCATTCAGGTAGAAAGCTATCAAGGTAACAAGTATATTTTTGTGTCTGTTGATGATTTCTCTCGATATACTTGGGTTGATTTCTTGCGTGAAAAGTCTGACACATTCTCTGCCTTTAAGTCACTTTGTTTGAAGGTTCAAACTGAGAAAGGTTTTCCCATAATAAGTATTCAAAGCGATCATGGAAGAGAATTTGAAAACTCTGAGTTTGCTGAATTTTGTGATTCTCTGGGTATTAGTCACGAGTTCTCGGCTCCTAAAACTCCTCAGCAAAATGGAGTTGTTGAAAGGAAGAATCGCACTCTACAAGAAATGGCCAGAGTCATGTTGAACTCTAAAAACATTTCTTCCAGATGGTGGGCTAAAGCAATCAATACACCATGCTACCTAGTGAATCGTGTGTACCTTCGTCGAGGTATTGGTCTGACTTCATATGAACTCTGGAAAGGTAAGAGCCCTAACCTCAGTCACTTGCATATTTTCGGGTGTAAGTGTTTTATCTATAATGATCGTGTCCAACTTGGAAAATTCGATGCAAAATCAGATATTGGATTCTTTCTTGGTTACTCTAACAATAGTCGAGCGTATCGTGTTTTCAACACAAGTACCTCCATTGTGATTGAGTCAATATATGTAATCTTTGATGAAAAGAATTCTCAAGTTAGTTCTTCTGTATTCTTTGATCAGTTTGAAAATGTTGAGGCACTGCAGGATACTCAGGGTCTGAAGAGTTCTGCAGACAAGGAGACAACTGAACCTTCTGTAGAAGATGCTGAAACATCAACTGACTACACTGTCCCTGCAACTCAAGAAGGTTCTGTGTGACTTAGGCGTGATCCTCCCTTAAGGGTTCAGAAAGACCATCCATCCAAGCAAGTCATTGGTGACATAAACGAGAGAGTGACCAGAAACTCAAGGACGTCAGTCAAAGAACATATGGGTGTCTCTCATTATGCCTGTTACACCTCACTCCTTGAACCCAAGAATGCTAAGGAGGCACTGAAAGACGAGTGTTGGATCTTAGCCATGCAGGAGGAACTTGAGCAATTCACCAGAAACGATGTCTTGGAGTTATTCTGTAATATCCCGATATTTTATCGGTATAAATTATGTTTTAATTCCGATATAATAATGTTATCGTTTATTATTTTCGGAATTAATTATTTTCAGTCGAGATTACTGAAATTTATTTTCGACGTACCGTTTAGGTTCGAAATAATTTTGGTAATTAAGCTTTATGTTTAATTAAATAATTAAACATATAGTGAGTGATTAAGGCCAATTAATCCCATCATTAGGGTTTCAAACCGTGAGGGTCATGGCAAATATCCCAACATTATGCTAAATCCATGCGTATATATGTATTTAAGTTCCAATTGTACTCATTAGTTTCCTAAGTCTTAAGGAGACTTCTCCCCTCCACACATTAGTCATCCACGTGTTTTAAGGAGAAGTAA